GCAAAGAAGGCCTGGCCCAGTTAGGGGGAGTTTGTCTTTGGGGGTTCTCATCCTGTGCCCTTTTTTCCTAAGGGCTTGTGACATCTGGTGCTATATACTGCAGCGGTCCCCAACCTTTTTGGCACCAGGGACCAGGTTTCGGGAAAGACAATTTTTCCACCAACTGGTGTGGAGGGGAAGGTTTCGGGCGGACTCAAGTGTATTACGTCGAAGCGCCCCGCCCTCCCCGTGAAGGCCGGAGCCCCTTCAAAGGGCTCCGATTTGGACAGCCCAGCCGTCACTGTCTTCATTTGGGTTTCACCAGACAGCGCAACTGGTTTACTGAGGATGTGACCCCCTGAAGCAGGGACGCCAATTAGGGCATGTGAGGACTCTGGGAGGCTTAGTCCTCACAGACGTGAGGGCCTCACAGGCCTTAAGGGCTGCTGAGTGGCAGCTGGAATGCCGCCAAGGCCGGGCCACCGGTGCTTTGGCATTATGCCACTGTTACTGTCGGTCTCTGCCGTTTATTACAAGAGCTTCCTCAATCCGCCACTGATGTCACTGCTCCCAGTCTGCCTGGCACCCGAGACCCAAGTTGCTGGTCCTGAAGCTCACTGCGATTATGGGGTGTCCATGCTCAAACGCCTTCGATGCGTCCTCGTGCCAGGGTGACCGCATCTGAAGCTTGTGTTCCAACCGGGCACTGCACTAGGAGCAGCGGATATGGCAGTACCCGCCCCCATGCAGCTGACCCTCTGCCTGGGGAGGCAAGGAGTGACCATGGAGGTGGTAAGGGTCAGAAAGGGACAGGGTGTCCTAGGAGCCCTGAGGAGGGGTGCCAGACACAGGCTTGAGTCACAGGACACTTTTGATACAGAAACTGTTGGGTGAGCATGGGGTTCACTTTCCCTCATTTGCTAACAGATCTCCTGCATTTGGGGGAATGGCAATGGCTGCAGCGAAACACAACCACACTCCCCGGATTTCCTGGCAGAAAGATGTGACCAATGAGAGATAAGTGGAAGTCTGGGTTTCCAGAAAATCTCTCTTAAAGAAGCCCGATCCAACAATAGTCATACCCTTTCCCCTTTCATTCCTTCTATTCCCAGCACTCTGGTACCAGATGCGATGGCTGGAACTCTAGTGGCCACATTGTGATTATGAGGGAATCTCAAATGTGGATGTACCTGCTGGGGATGATGAGCAGGAAGAGAGAAGGAGGCTGGGTCTCTGAAGGGTCTCTGAAAACCTCAGAGGTCTCAGTCCAGTCCTGGGCTGACCACCTGCAGACTTCTCTCATGAGAGAACAAGTAAATGTCTTTCTGCTTTAAGCCACTGATATTGGAGTTTTCTCCTATCGTTTGCTGAATCTAATCTGAATGAATGCAGTGTCTGAAGCAGTAGCAGAAGTTAGGCAAGCCAGTATTCCCCGGGGGTGCTTCAGGGTGGGGTTTAAAAGGCCAAGGAGGAACCATGTTTCCGGTGGAGGGAAAAGAATGTCCAAAGGCCTGCAGGAAAAAACGCTGGACTGCGCCCACCGGCAGAGGGAGCCCCGAATGGTGAGGTCTTCGCTTCAGGAAAATCCCTCTGGTACCCAGACAGAGGGGCTGGATTTGAGTGAAGAGGAGTTGACAGGCCATTTTGAGGCTGCCACTGTGGCCAGAGAAGAGATGAAATTGATTTGTGTCGGCCAGTGGCTGTAGGAACCGAGAGAGATGGGCAGGCCCAGACTTGAAAAGGGAGAATTCATAAGAGTTGATGGGAGGGCTTCTGCCAAGATGGAGGCATAGGTGGAGACGCCGTGCCTTCTCACACAACCAAGTTTAGAGACAACTAAATATTAGCAACAGAAAACATAGCCAGAACACAGAAAATTGAACTTTTCGGAAGTCCGTTAACAACAAATTCTTCAGCCTGACTGGTAAGGGGCGAAACCAGCAGCTGGTGGAGCGGGGTTGCACAGGAAAACTCGGTCAGACGGACTCAGGCACGGAATCCAGGCACAGGGGTGGACCTAGTGAGCAACCGAGGGAGCGACCTCGGGGGAGACAGCAGGGGAGCAGGGCTGCGGGTTGACTGTGGTCGCGCATTTGTGTGCGGATAGACAAGCGAGGGAGTGGGCGATTGGACCGGAACCCAGTGGGTCCCCACAGCAAGTGGCAGGGAGGGTGCCACCATTTCCCTGCTCTGACCCCACCTCCACATACAGCGTCACAACCCAGCGACTCTGAGTGGCCCTGCCCTGGAGAACCACATAAGGTTCTGCTCCTCACCCAGCTGAGAGAAGCAGCAGAGGGTGCCGCCATTTCCCCGCTCTGACCACGCCCCCACATACAGCGTCACAACCCAGCGACCTGGGAGTCCAAGGCACCGCTTCTCACACTTAAAGGGCGCGAACAGACCAAAAATGGCTCAAGAAGATCTCAAAGCCCCAGAGCCTATAAATCTAAGCGATGAAGAAATAGCAAAACTCTCAGACACACAGTTTAAAACACTGGTCATCAGGATCCTCACAGAACTGGTTGATTATAGCCACAAATTAGACAACTAATTTGGAGGAGAAACTAATTGAAATGAATGGAATTGCACAGGACACCAATAGCAATGAAAAGGAAACTGGGACTCAAATCAATGGAGTGGACCAGAAGAAAGCAAATAATGGCCAAACAGAAAAGAGTCAAGGAGCAAGAATTCAAAGAAATGAGGAGAGTCTTAGGGACCTCCAGGACATCTTTAAACGCTCCAACATCCGAATTATAGGGGTACCAGAAGGGGGAAAGGCACAGCCACCAGTGGAAAACTTATTTGAACAAATAATAAAGGAGAATTTCCCCAATCTGGCAAAGGAAATAGACTTCCAGGAAATCCAGGAAGCCCAGAGAGTCCCAAAGAAGTTGGACCCAAGAAGGAACACACCAAGGCACATCATAATTACATTAGCTAAGATTAAAATGAAGGAGACAATCCTAGAAGCAGCAAGAGATAAGGGGACAGTCACCTATAAAGGAGTGCCCATCAGACTGTCAGCAGATTTCTCAAAAGAGACCTTACAGGCAAGAAGGGGCTGGAAAGAGCTATTCCAAGTCATGAAATCCAAAGACCTACAACCAAGATTGCTCTATCAAGCAAAACTTTCATTTAGAATGGAAGGACAGATAAAGTGCTTCTCAGATAAGATCAAATTCAAGGAGTTCATCATCACCAAGCCCTTATTCTATGAAATGTTAAAGGGACTTACCTAAGAAAAAGAAGTTAAAGAAACATGAACAGTGAAAGGACAGCAAACTCACAGTTATTAACAACCACACCTAAAACAAAAGCAAACTAAAAGGACAGCTAGATCAGGAGTGGAAACATAGAAATGAAGATCTCAAGGAGGGTTAGCAACAGGGGAGTGGGAGGAGGAGATGGGGGGAGAAGGTACATAAAATAAGTAGCATAGACAGTAGATAGAAAATAGATGGGGGGGGGCAAGAATAGCATGGGAAATATAGAATCTAAAGGACTTGAGACACATGGTCATAAACTAAAGGGCGGGTAATGGTGGGAATGGGGGGGTAGTGTGGAGGGGAATGAAGGGGGGAATAGAACAACTGTAACAGCATAATCAATAAAGAAATTTAAAAAAAAAGAGTTGATGGGTGATTGGATGTGGGGGGAGGGAGCAGGAGGAGCAGAGGACGAGCCATAGCTGAGATAGGGGACGCAGAAGAGGCTCAGGGCTGGAGGCGGGGCCTGGGGTGACGTGCCTCAGAGGGGAGAAGGGCACAGGCCCTCGGAGGCCATGGAAGGAGCCCGGGCCTTGGGGGTCAGAAAGTGTCCAGCCACACACCTGATGGTGCCGCCTTTGGAAATACCCTTGACCTCTTTAATTCTGATTCTCAACCCAAAACTGGGGCTGTAGTCAGCTGTGTATAAAAGTTCCACCGTGAGTGGTGAGGCTCAGTGGGTTGGGCGTCCTGAGCAAAGCAAAAAGTTGCCAGTTTGATTCCCTGTGGCTGGGTTCCCGGCTGGCTTGGGCCTTCGTGGGGCTTGCAAGAGGCAACTGATGATGTTTCTTTCCCCCTCCCTTCCTCTCTCACTCTCTCTTTTTAAAAAGATTTTATTTATTTATTTCTAGAGAGGGGAAGGGAGGGAGAGAAACATCAATGTGTGGTTGCCTCTTGCACCCCCTCCACCAGGGACCTGGCCTGCAACCCAGGCATGTACCCTGACTGGGAATTGAACCAGTGACCCTTTAGTTCTCAGGCTGGCAATCAATCCACTGAGCCACACCAGCCAGGGCTCACTCTTAAAAACAAAACAAAACAAAACAAAACAAATAAAAACAAATAAAAACAAAACAAAACAAAACAAAACAAAACAAAACAAAACAAAACAAAACCCCGCCTAAACTCCCTGGCTAGTAAAAGCACAGTTTTAATTGAAACTGAAATCTTGCGCCTCGGGTTCCCTCCGACCCCTGCGCTCTCGGCGCTCACCGATCCTGGCTTTTCTCTCATGTCACAACTCCGGGCCCAGTCGCGCCCCCGGGAAGGCCCAGAGGAAAGCCCCCCATCTTCCAGGGCCTCACTGAGTCGGCCCCCCGTGAACTTTTGTTCTTTCTTAACCGAGACGCACAGGAGGCTGGGAGGCGCCGCTGTCCTGGAAGCCAGGTGACCGGGGTCAGCACCGCGCTCTTGGCTCTGCCGCCTCTGGCGGGGCCGGGACCGCGGGGGTGTCGCTGCTCCCCGCACCGCCTCCCTCCCCGCCCCACCCTCCCCGCTCCCGCGCGCCTCCCAGCTCCTCCCCGCGCCTCCCCGCTGCTCCCGGGTGTGCGGCTGGGCTGCGGCGCGCCGGGCAGGGCAGGCGCAGCGGGTCCGGCGCGGGGAGCCGGGCGCAGCCCCGGCCTGCGCGACCCGCGCGCACCGGAGGCCGGCCCGGGGGGCCCGCAGGGCACGCGGAGCGCCGAGTGCGTGTCCGGCTGGGCCCCGCACCCCGGCGCAGGAGCCCGGGCGCGGCACGGCGGAGTGCGGGACATGGAGCCGGCCCGGGAGCCCCCGGCGCGGGAGCCCCCGGCGCGGGTCCGGCCGCCGCCGCCCCCAGCCGCTCGCCCGGCGCCCGCAGCGCCGCGGCCCCGATCCCCGGCGGAGGCGGAGGCCCGCGGCGCGGAGGGGCTGCTGCGGCGATCGGGCTCCGGCTACGAGGGCAGCACCAGCTGGAAGGCGGCCCTGGAGGGTAAGAGGTGGGGCGGCCCTTCATCCTCTGGGCCTGGGACCGGGGACGAGGGTCAGAGTCACCTTGGCCGGTCTCCCGGAGGGGAGGACGGGGAGTGAGACACTGGAATCCGGAGGATTGATTTCAGGGCAGTTAGATGACACCTTGGGAGAGGGGAGAGACGTAACTGGGGACCAGCTGTGGTTAGTCACAGCTCGACCCTAATTCGGCCTCTCTGAAGCGAATTCACTCCTTGACCTTGGGAGCAGGTTCTGCACGCTGAGCCTCAGTTTCCCCAGGAGTGAAGGGGGACAGTTAGTGTCAGCCACTCACCTGATGGGATTGTTGAGGGACCCGCGTGACTCTGGTGGTGGAAATGCTTTGGGCGAAGCATTTGCCCAAAATGCATTAGACAGAAGCGGGAAACCCCAGAGATGGTGCCAGCGTCCAGTGAGAAGCGGGTGGGGGCACCGGCTGGGGAGGGTCCCCTCAGGGACGGGCGGGGGGAGAGCGGAGAGTAGCCAGAGGCTCTTCTTTGCAACTTCATAGGTTTCCCCGCCCCTTCCAGGCACGGCAGTGACCCCTGGCTGGCCCCCAGGGGCAGCGAACAAGGTGGAAGATAGATTTCAAGTCCGGGAGTTGTTTCAGGAAACTCGTGTTGGCCCCTGGTGGTGCCTGGTGTGGGGTTGGGAGATGCTGGAGTCCGCAGGGCAGAGGGCCAGGCCTCTGGAGGCGTCTCCACGCTCCTGACACCCCCAGTCCAAAGGCCGAGGATGGGGCAACATTACAAAGGGAAGCCCAGAATTTTCATCAGCCAGCCCTTAGGGAGGGCATGTCAGAAAGAGGGCTTCCTGAGCAGGTGACATCTTAGGAACTTGGGGAAGGGAAGGAAGGGTGCGTCAGACTCAAGGAGTGACCTGCTCAGGAGCCAAGTGTGACCTGCTCAGGCAGCCTGTCCCTCCTGCAGAACTGAACTCCAGAATCCCGGCTTGGGGGAGGGGGCCCAGGAGCCGGGTCTGGGGGCCCGGGCAGCGAATGGCCGCCCAGGCCTTGCCGGAGAGTTTGACCTTTGAAGGACCCACTGAGAGATTGAAAGTGTGGGATGAGACGGGGGGTTTGTCCTTGAGAAGGTGGTGGTGTCACGGAGGGGTCAGGCCAAGGCCGGGTCAGTGAGGAAAGCGGGGCAGTGGGCGGGGAGGGGGCAGGGGGACATAGCCAGCCCCTGGCAGGGCAGCTGCCTTACCAGGAGGGGGAGGTGGAGAGCGTCTTGTCCGGATTGGGCCGAAGGCTGGTGGGCCAGGGACTCGGGCTGCCTGAAGAGGACTCCACGGGCTCTGCCCGGGAGGTTGGGTGTCTGGGTGGCGATTTGGGACAAAAGCGGCAAAGATGTGGGATTTTGGATGCTGGGTTCCTCCAGCCCCTGGGGGGCGCACCCCCTGCCTACTGTCGCACCTGCGGCCCTGCCTCCGCTCCCTCCCGGCCTGTCTCTGACTCTCAGGCTCCCTCTGGCGCTGCCTTCTCCAGCGGGTCCATGGCATCGGCTCCACGCTTGGGGTCTGAGGTCCTGGGGGCTCGGCGTCTGGGGCGTATGGGCTTTCCCCACAGGTGTTTTAGGGTCTTCAGTCTGAGTCCCCGTGAGGGGCCTCCCCTCTGCCAGTCCCCTGAGGGTCTTTTTTATATTTATGGGTTTATTTATTTATTTTTAGAGAGAGGAAGAAAGGGAGGGGGGGGAGAAACATCCATGTACTAGAGAAACTTCCATAGGTGGCCTCTCCCACACCCCCGGCCAGGGATCTGGCCCACAACCCAGGCATGTACCCTGACTGGGAATCGAAGCTACGACCTTTTGGTTTGCAGGACGATGCCCAACCCACTGGGCCACACCCGCCAGGGCGTGAGGGTCTTCTTGGTGCTCTCCGGAGGCCCCCACAGCTGTCAGAAGAGGGGAGCTCGTGGGCCAGGGCGGGTGCTGCCATGTGGGCCCAGGGCCAGCGGTGGTGCAGCCGTCCCATGCCCGTCGCCCTTCCTCTCCCCGTGCAGACGACCGTGGGCCCCACTGTCCAGACACAGCTCTGGGTGTCAGGAACATCCGGGCCCTTGAACAACCACAGATTGTGGCTGAGGCCGCCTGGAGGGGAACACAGAGTCTGGAGTTGGGTAAAAACCCAAGCCAGGGGTCACCAGGTTTTGGAACTTGAGCCTCAGTTTCCTCATCTGTCGTGCTGGGCAATATGGTTGCCCTTTTAGGGCCACACAGCAGGGTGTGGGCCGTGTGCAGGCCATGTCTCCCCAGGCTCCTAGGCGTGGCCCCTGCAGCCCCGGTGGGGGAACTCAGCTGAAATCCTTTGACTCGGGTCTGCCTGCCTTGAGACCACTCCCCAGCCCCCAGGCTGGAGTCCGTGTACCGGGCCCAGCCCGTGGACGCTGAGGACACCCACGCAGATGAGGGGTCTGCCGCCGCTGGGGGCCGAGGGCTTTGCCATCTCCACTTAGCCACACACACCTGGAGAGAAACGGGAGGCTTCCTGACCTGACCAGGCCAAATACTCACGGGGCCTGTGCTCCTCTGTGACCACAAGCTGAGCATTTATTGAGCACCTACTGAGTGCTGAGCCCCATGCTGGGGGCTCTCACGAGGGCTGTCTCCTTTACTCCTCGCATCTCCTCTTGCAGGGAGTTGGCGAGCGTTCTATCTAGTTTGTAGAGGAAGAAACTAAGACTCAGAGAGGCCAAGTGTCTTTCCCAAGGACACACGTGAAAGCCCGTCGGGTTTGTCCCCAGGCCTCTGACACAGTGAAAGCCCCCACACTGTCCTGTGCGGACCCAGGACCCTGGGCCTGATGAGGCCAATGGGACGGAATCAGATTGCTTTGGATGTAGGTCATTCGCCCCCTCGGGCCCAGACAAGGCCGCCTCTGCACAGACAGGTTAAGTGAATTGGAGACCTGTTCAATCAGACGGCTGGGAAATGCCGCCCTGGGGCTGAAGACTTCCCTGAGACCCACACTTAGCTTTACAAGTAGGAAGCCAGTCAGTGCTGCTCCTTAGTCAGGTCTTCTGTCGCTGTGGGTATTAACCTTTCCTCCCCACTCCGCCCAGCATCGGGGGACAGGCTGGGAAAGGTGGCCCGGAGCTGTGGCCTCAGTTCTGGAACCCCTGGCGCTGATCTGGCGAGGAGATGTTTCTGGCTTTGGTGGGGGCAGGAGGGAAGGGGGTGTGGGGGCGTGGGAGGGGCCAGAACGATTCTGCATATCTCAGACTATAGATTTTTCCATGCTCACGAATTCTGAATTTTTAATGTTGGAAGTTCCTTGATTGGGCGTAAACCCACAAGTTCCTGATCAAAACCACACACATGCATTTAGCAAAGTCTCTTAAAAACTGAAAAATTACCAAATGCTGCGTTGGATGGTCTCGGACAGCCAAGATCATGTTCACCGGGTAGCCCTGACAACCCGGAACCGTCAGCCATGAGTCTCCTTGGAGCTGTGGGTCTGGCGGGGGCGGGGCATTTGTCTGGGCCCGGGAGCCCCTTCTCCCTCAGTTGCTCCTTCTAGCATGAGGCTAAGTCATACATATTCATAAACATAAGTCGCTGGCCCCTAGTGAAGGCCATTGCGCAGGAGCAAGGGTTGCTGAGTCAGACATTCGTTTTTATGGCAGAGTCGTGCCCCCTCCCCCAAGAGACCTGCTAGAGTCCTGACCCCCCAGGAACCTGGGAATATGGCTTCGTTTGGAAAGACGGGCATCGGAGGCATCCTCAGTTAAGATGGGGGCTTGCTGGAGTTGGGTGGTCTCCTCGTCCAGTGGGACTGGTGTCCTTGTAAGGAGACAGTCATGGGAGGGTGAAAGGGCCGTGGGACCAGGAAGGCAGAGATTGGAGGGGAGCATCTGCAAGCCAAGGAGCCCTCAGATCACCTGCAAACCACCAGAAGCGTGGACGAAGCAAGGGAGGGTCCCCACGGGATTCGGAGGGAGCGTGGCCCACCGCCACCTGGACTGTGGGCTCCTGGCCTCCAGGACTGGGACACAATGCGTTTCCGGCATTTTCAGTCAACCACAGGGAATGAGTACAGCGTGGATTTGGATCGTCCGCCCCACGGCCGTCCTGGGTGAGGGCAGGCAGTGAACGATGGGCTCCCTAGCATGTCCTCTCTGTGTCCCCAGTACAGTGTCCAGAGCAGTTATCCCCGTGAGAGAAGGAAGAGCCTCCTGGGTTCTGGTGACGGTGGAGACACACGCACAGACGCCCCTTTTCCAGGAGAGCAGGTGTGCCCACGCACCCTCCCCTGCAAACTCAGTGGCGTTCAAGGCTGGCCAAGGACACTGTCTCTCGGTGTTGCTAGGTTCCCCCGTGTTTTTAGTGCCGCTGGGTGTTCTGTGACATGCAAGGTAGTGGGTGGCTTAGCCCTGGTCCAGGGGCTCCAACGGGGAGCAGAGTACAGCTCTTACCCTAAAGGGGTCTGAGGGCTTATTACCACCACCACCGCCATCATCATCATCGTCATCATCATCATTGTATCTCTTAGCACTGAAGTAGAGTTTCCGTACCAGACACTGTTCTAAATACCATACATTCAACTTTCATAAAATCCTAAGTGGCAGATGCTACTTTTACTTCATTTTAAAGATGACAAAAATGAAATAAAATAGAAGCTAGGTAACTTCGCCAAGTTACTAAGTCACTTAGAAAATGGCAGGGCTGGGATTCGAACCCCGCGGAGGCGGGTTAAGGCACCACGCTCTCTCATCCTCCACGTGCAAAGGATGACGGAGTCAGTGTTGGGGGAGGGGGGATGGGGAGACGTGGAAGGGAAGGAATGGCAGAATACGCAGCCATCCTGCTGCAGCTCACGGGGGTCTGTCCCACAGCAAACTGCAGGTGGGGACAGAGCCTTCACTCTCCCGAACCGGGGGCCACCGGCCTCGGGACTCCTGGTCACCTGCCATTGTCAACCTTGTTCATAGGAAGGATTCCAGGCACAGGTGGCAGGCTGAACGCATGCATTTATACTCTTTCCCCCCGAAGCCCACGAACACATCAGTAAAGGAATTTTTAAAAGGACACCAGGACCACAAGGAGAGAAGAGGGGACCACAGCAATAGAATTGGGAGCTAGGGAGCAAGTACCTAGAGGTGACTGAGTCCACCAGCAGAGGGCGCACCCGAGGGACACCGGGAGGGGGCGCCGGGTCCTCAGCGCCGCGGAAACACAGGAGGACTGGTGGAAGGTTTCTTTAGGAAGATCTAGACCCCCAGGTCCTCCTCCCTCTCTCTGTATAGCTCCCTCCCAGCCCCGGCAGGAGCCCAGGCTCCATCTCTGGAGACCTGGTCTCTAGACCCCAACACATTGGAGAGCAAGCCATTGAGGAGATGTTTCCAGAATAGGCTTCTCCAGGGACTGGGACTGCCCTCCCCAAGAGAAAAAGGCCCAAGGAGGTTGACAGCCAGAGAGCCTGGAGGGTCAGCCCAGCTGGATCAGTCCGCCACGACCTTCAAGCCCGCCCCCCCCCCCACAGTTAGTAAGCCCCACTCGTGGTCTCAGAGACACTAGTGAACTCTGCAGTGCTGCTGCCTTAATCAGGAGCAAATAACCAAGGCTCCCCATGCGTCCCAGGGAAGTCTCCCACGTGGAGAAAAACCGAGTTGGAGGACAAAGGGACTAGACAGGGAGAAATAAACTTTCCGCCCTGCTCCCCCCTCCATAAACCCTATCAGTAGCACCCTCAGACAGACGAGAGGAAGGATGGCATCGTGGAAATAAGGACAGGTCCTGGCTGGTGTGGCTCAGTGGATTCAGTGCTAGACCTGTGAACTCAAGGGTCACCGGTTGAATGCCCAGTCAGGGCATGTGCCTGGGTTGTGGGCCAGGTCCCACAGTTTGGGGCAAGTGAGAGGCAACTGATCACTGTTTCTCTTACACATCGATGTTTCTCTCCCTCCCCTTTCTAAAAATAAATACATAATAAAATCTTTAAAAAAATAAAACAAGAACAGGATGCTTTCATGGGGACTATTCAGAGAACAGCAGCCACAAAGCCAAGAATAACCTTGGAGATTAAAAATAATTATAGAAATGAAAAATTCAACAGAAGGATAGGAAGATAAAATTGGAAAAGGTCTTCCAGAAACAGAACATGAAGACAAAGAGATATCGGACGAGGGAGAAGGAGGGAGGGAGAAAACAGAAAAATAAACTGGGGGGACCAGCCTAAGAGGTCCCACGTTCCCCTGTCCTTTGTAAAGTACAATACAAATTAAGTTCCTAGAACCGTGACCGTGCACTTGGACGCTCCAGCATGTTGAACTGCTGTGGGCGTCTCTAGATACATCCTCTCGGTTCGGGAGCTATTCATCATGGAGGAGGAATACACAGACCAGCGCCGGTCTGTGGGGGTGCTGTTTCCACCTATTTTCGGGCATAGCTTTGGTTTCAAAAAAAACCTTAAAAATAAAAAAGGCTAGGGTGGCAATAATAATAATAATAATTATTATTATTATTATAAAAGGAACCTAAACAGTGCTGGCGAGGTGGAGGAGAAATTAGAAGGCTGCGCATGGGCAGTACCGCTGAAGTGTAGAATGTGCAGCCACTGCGGAAACAGTGCGGGGGCCCCGCAAGCAGTTAAACGTGGAACGACCGTGTGGTCCAGCAAGTCCACTCCTGGGTATGGACCCGAAAGAACCGCAAACGGCCCTGGCTGGTGCGGCTCAGTGGGCTGAGTATCGTTCTGCAAACCGAAAGTTTGCTGATTCGATTCCTAGTCAGGGCACGTGCCTGGGTCCCCAATGACCTCTTGATGTTTCTCTCCTTCTCTTTCTCCAAAAATAAATAAAGTCTCTTCAAAAAACCCTGAAAATGGGGACTCAAACAGGAGCTTGTATGCCTGTTCACTGCAGCATCGTTCACAATACCAAAACGTGGAAACACTCCAAGGGTCAACCAGACGATGAAGGGACAAACACAGTGTATCCGCTCATCCAAGAGAATATTTTTCAGCCAGAAAAAAAAGGAAATGAAATTCTGATACAGGCCACAACCTGGATGAACCTGGAAAACATTATATTAAGTAAAGTATTTTTTGGGCTACAAGATGCACCCTTCCCCCTCTACCCCCGGCCAATTTGGAAGGAATAATGGTTGTTAGTGCTGCTGTTGAGTTCTGTTTACATTTACATTGGTGAAATATTAGGTTATTTATGTTATTAAGTATTTTACCACATTTTTTGCTTCAAAAGTTTTTTCCCCTATTTTCTTCCTCTAAAATCTAGGTGCGTCTTATAGTCCAAAATGTGGTAAGCCAGACACGAAAGGACGGATTTTGTATGTTTTCACGTATGAGAAATCTCTGTGACAGGCAAATGCATAGAGATGGAACTAGATTAGAGGTTACCAGGCACCAACCAGGAGGAGGCGGGAATGAGGAGCTGATGCGTGATTGGTACAGAGTTTCTGTTTGGGGCGATGAGGAAGTTTTTTTGCAAATGGACAGGGGTGTGGTTCCACAATATGGTATATGTAACTAATGCCACGAATTGTACATTTAAAAATGGTTCAAATGGCAACTTTTATGTTAAAAGACTTTTTAAAAGATCGTAGGTCTAAAGTCTCAAATGGCTCTTTCACTAAATATCAAATAAAATTTTAAGTGGGCCCTGGCTGGTGTAGCTCAGTGGATTGAGCACGGGCCTCTGAAGCGAAGGGTCCCCGGTTCAATTCCCAGTTAGGGTACATGCCTGGGTTGCGGGCCAGGTCCCCAGTAGCGGACACATGAGAGACATGAGAGCAACCACGCATGATGTTTTTCTCCCACTTTCTCCTTCCCTTCGCCTCTCTCTAAAAAATAAATAAGTAAAATATTTAAAAAAATAAAAACTTTAAGTGGTAACAAATTTTGTTTTTTTAATTTTAAAGAAGGGAGAAGCCAGCGGATCAGGAAAGGTTTGATCAAGGGGGCGCTGCGGGGGCAGATTTCAAGAGGAGCCGAGACCCGCTGCAGGGCTGCGGGGGTGGGCTGGGTTCTTTCTCGGAGTCCGTGTGGCTGAAACAGAACAGAGAAGCAGCGGGTTAGCGACTGGAAGCTCTGCGGGCCACCGAAGTTCAAGTGCAAAGCCCCGGAGGGAAGGTTATGCTGCAGGGGAACCGGGAGACCTGGGAATCAGAGCCCCGCGCTGCAGCTGCGCCTCTCAGGCCACAGTGGGAATCACCCGGAGCACGGGGTGCGGTACAGCCGGCGGGCCCCGCCCCCAGGGCATCTCACTGCGGGCATTGGGGGGCGGTAGGGGCTGGCTACGCGATTGGTGGTGGGCGGGAGGCTGGGAACTGAACCCTTTCTCTTCTCCTCAGACACCACCACCCGTCTCCTGCTGGGGGCCATCGCCGTGCTTCTGTTCGCCATCCTGGTGGTGATGAGCATCTTGGGTGAGCGTGGGCGACAGCGCACTTACGGGGTCCCCCGTGTGCCACCTTGTCAGGAGCGTTTCCAATCAGGTCTAGGAAAGTTCCGGCTGCACCACGAACTCTGTGCGGGACCAACTGCTTACAAAACCGAGTGTTAGTTCTAGAGGAGATGTTAGCTTCAAATAATCTTTTCCCACGCCGACTCCACAAACCAGGGAAAGTGGAGGTGGGACTTCGGTTCTCTTCTGTAGAGAGAACTCGGAGCAAACTGGGGGTGGCTTAGGCAGGCCATGCTTCTTGGGGGAGACGAGTTTGGGATGAGGGCCTTCGAAGACCACATTCATTTGCTGAACAAACATTTATTGAGCCCGCTGCCTGTTAGGCCCTGGGCTTGGTACTAAGGGTTAAAAAAATGAGTATGTATCTCCCTCGTGTAGATACAGAGGTGCTGTGGCCCCGGGGGGGGGCTTCCCAGAGGAAATACAGGGGTCAGACCCTGAAGAAGGAATGCGGGCTTCCTGGGAGCAGAAGAGGCTGCGGGTAGGCCCTGAGCAACAAGCAGTGTTGCCCTGGATGGTGGGGGGACTGTCGCTGAGGACAGTCACCAGGGAACCTGGCTGCTTTTAAATGGATTCAAGGCCAAGTATGTTGTGGGGTCTGAAGGCTTTGCAAAGTGCTTCCAGGGACTCTGTCTTTCATCTCTGAGGAGCCCCCCTCAGCCCAGGGGTGGGCACCTGCAAATGGGCAAAAAGTCCACTGATAACGTCGGTCCCCATCAAACCCTCGAGTGCAGGGTGTGCGTGACAAGCAGGGAGTTTGTGGGTGTTTGGAAAGAGCCTCGTGACCACCAGCACCTGCCACCTTCAAATTAAATCCATGTCCTCTGGGCCCGTAGCTAGGCGGGGAGGTCGGAGCAGCCTGTACAGGTAGCAGATTCGGATTTTGGTAAATGACGACAGTCTCCCCAGAAATCCTTGTGGAAAAGCGGTTGAAATGCAGCCTCATCACACATGGGCCTGAAGCTCCCCGAATAGACAGGCCGAGTGTCAAGTCTGATTAATTGGTGTCAGCGTGTCTGGCGATCCCTAAGGGCTGGAGCACCACGGGCCTGTTCTTGGCTCTGTTTGGTCTACGTTTAATCAATCACTTGAATGAAAACAAACAAAAACATGCATATGGAATTTGTAGGAGATACGGTCCACAGGGGGATGTTTAATATGACAGGTGAAAAAAAAAATCAAGCTGAAAGTGTTCTTCTCAGAGATGAGCTGACACGAATGACATGCATGTGAAAGACATTGATGTAAGGTCCTGCCTTGGATTTGAAAAATGGTTTATCTGTGTTCTGGCCACTGGGGAGACCTGGCTTGGAGAGCGACCATGAGAAAACGATGGAAGAGCGTGGCTTAATTCCCCTTGGCAAGGGGGGCCCTTTGAGAGCTGATGAAAGCTCCGGGCTGTGTTCCCAGAGAAGGGCAGGGAGGCACACACTCACGGGCTCTTCTCTCCGAAGCAGTCTGCGGGCCTGTGACCACCGGGGGGCAGTGTGCTCATCCCTGAGGCTGGGACCCCACCCGCCGTTCCAGCGTGACACTGTGGCAGTATTGCAGTGATGATGTGGCACCCTGCAGGGGGCGGACAGGCTGGAGAGAGTCCGGAGGGCAGCCCCTGTTGGGGACCGTGGAAGAGACCGTGGCTGTAGGCCTGGGCGAGGGGAGGCTGGGGTCCCTCTTGGAGCAGGTGCTAGAGGGCAGCCTGGGTTTGCCCCAAGCTGCTCCAGGTCTCGGTCCAGCCGGACCAGGTCACGGGAAGGCAGGTTGGGTCTTAGAATGGAACAGGAACTTCCAGCAGTTCAGCGGTGGGATGGGCTGCCTTGATAGCTAACGGGGAGCGCGCCAGGTGAGAGGGGCCCCCAGAGCCTGCACAGGGTTCCCATCCTGGCTGGAGAGAGGACACGTCTCGTAGCCTCCAAGTCCCTCCCAAATCTGACTTTCTGGGGTTCCATGCCTCGAAGAGTTCGGAGAGAGAGGGGAGGCCTTAACCCAGGGGCTAAGCTGTCATCCTCCCTCATGGTCCCCCGGCAAACCTCGCCCGTTCCTCTCTCCGGTGCCTTCAGTGACCCACCTTCCTTCTCCCGGCCAGGCACGGTGAGGGGCGCTCACCTGGGAAGACAGCACACGACCCATGGAAGTGAAGGGCACCAAAGTCAGGGCAGGCGGAGGGAGTTGTGGGGGGGCCGGCGGGGATATTCAGGGGCCAGGCATGTCCCCCCCTGGACTCCGAGAGCCCCCCTCTCCCCTGCAGCTTCCAAGGGCTGCATCAAGTGTGAAGCGCCCTGCCCGGAGGACTGGCTGCTCTACGGGAGGAAGTGCTACTACTTCTCCGAGGACCCGCGAGACTGGAACACGGGCAGGCAGTTCTGCCACACCCACGAGGCCTCGCTGGCCGTGATTCAGAGCCAGAAGGAGCTGGTGAGCGCTGGGGCGGGGCACCCCCGGGAGACCTGCACCCCTAGGCCTCCGTATCCCCGGGACACCCAGTCACCACACGGCCTGGCGTGTGCAGGGGGCGCCTGGGGGTCTGACCTGTGTCAAGGCCAACTGGGCGGGTCCAGGCTGGTCTGCTGAGCTCGGCTCCGTGTCGCATGTAAGAGTTTGCACTTGTGAAATGGAAAATCACATCGGCACGTTCTCAGGGCTGGAATCGGCCAGGACGGTTTTCTCCACAGAAATAGGAAAGAAACACAGTCTATCGGCTGTTTTGGAGGGTTACGTTGGCGAGGCAAGGTGGAATCACAGATAATCCCAGAATCGCTCTGTTTGCCTCTGGTACACAGGACAGCAGCCCCCCTGCTTCAGAGAAGGGCGCAGGAGTGCGGAGACAATCAGCCTGCTCGTGGGGGTTTGGCCCTCGAAGCCCATCGGGTGTCCAAGCCCACGCTCCTGTGAATCGGGAGGCTGGCTCCTGGGCCAGGGGCACAGACCATGTGCCCAGAGCCCTGGCCCTGAGGCGCGCTCCCGGAGGCGGCCCCTCAGGGACCGCTGCAGGCCACTGCGGGGCGTTTCGTGTGCGTGCAGGGCACTCTTTGACCCCAGCACCTCACTGTTGGGGGACAGTGAGGCGCGCCCCTCGTGGCGCCTGTCCATCTGGGGAGCCAGTCTTCCAGGCCGAGGTCAGCCGTGGGGATCGTGGGCAGTCGGGAGACCACGTCTGACTCTGAGCCTCCCCTCTCTCCTCGGTGCAGGAATTCATGTACAAGTTCACGCGGAGGGAGCCCTGGATTGGCCTGCGCAGGGTCGGGGACGAATTCCACTGGGTCAGCGGGGAGCCCTTCGACCCGGACACGTGAGCTGAGACTTCATCCTCCAGCCACCGGGCTCAGACCGCGTGCAAGGCCCAGCCCCCCGACACCTCCCGGGGGACCACCTGGTGTCATGCGGGCCAGAGCAGCAGCCCCTAGGTTCAGCGGGCGTGGCAGACCACGCTCCAGCCCAGGAAGTCCAGCCTGGTTTGGTGGCTCTGGTCCCTGCCGTCACAGCTTCCTGGTCCCGGGCTTCTTTCCATCCTGAGGGTCCCCTGTGTGAGCAGGGGCCTGTCTGCATGGCCCAGTGAGGCTCCGCCACAGGGGGAAGAGGAGAGGGAGTCCCTGGCTCGGACGTCCCTCTGCAGTGGCCAGGATGCAGCTGGGTGACAGCCCCTGGCCGCAGGGGTGTGGAGAGGGGCCCTCTGCCCTGGGCAGCCGAGTCCCGCCTAAACACCGAGACTGTGCGGGGAGGGCGGATCCGAACCCTGGGCACCATGAGCGTTAGCGGAGACACCTCTTGGGGCAGCTGGCGGTGGCATCTGTGGGGCCCTGGCGTGGACGTGAGTGTGTGTGAGACGTGGGTGGTGGGAGTGTGGTGCCGGGGCCTGGTCTGCGGTGTGGGAGATGGTGGCAGTGGTCACGGGAGGTGGGGTCGGGGGTGGGGGTGGTGACGGGTGCCTGCGTGTTGGGGGGCGCAGTCCAGGTTGGAGAAATGCAGGGAATAAGGGAGTAAGAACCTTGGCTTTCAGTGCAGATTCTGCAGCTGGACCACTGGGCCACAAGGAGGTGGGTGGGGCACCACTGCCCACCTGATGGGGACACGCCTGTCCCCAGTGCCCCCCCCCAGCCCTCCACGGTGGCCTGGAGCTGGTGACTAGCCACCTTCCCATGGAGGCTAACTTAGCGTCCCCTCTGCCCCCAGCAGCCTCCTGGGGTCAAGTGGCCCTGTTGACAATTCCTTCCTTCCCCCCTTTGCCTGACTCCTCTCCATCTTTGCCCGTCTTCCATTTTCTCTCCCATTCCTACCCCCATCTCAAGTCACTTCTTAGTGCTGCTGAGGGAGCACTTTCTGTCCCCTTATCCCCCCTTCTGGAAGCTTCCTGCTCCCAGAGCCAGGGAGAGCCCTGGAGAGTGGGGTCCCTACCGTGCTGACCACCTGGCACCCCAGGGCCTCGGGGAGCACTTCCCTGACACTGAGGTGGCCCTGCCCCTCCCCCCCTCTCGGGGTCATTCCGATGCTGAGTCTTGTGAGACTCCAGCTCTGGCCTTGGCAGGGGACTCGGATCAGGGTGAACAGAAGAAACCTTGAGATGGAAATGGTGAAAAGGGCCGGTTTTGGGTCAGGAACATCCTCCCCGCACAGGCCCACCAATGGCACCTATGATTTCCTGGGCCACACAGCCCCGGGCGGTAAACACTGGGGTTGTTGGGGTTATTGGGGTCCACCCCTGCGTTATGAGGGCATTGAATTCAGCTCAGATCTTCTGAGCTCTCCCTGTGCCATGGACACCCGGTGTTCAGGAGCTGACCACCCGGGGACTGGGGGACAGACTGAGGCAGCACCCTCGGGGGGCGGGGGGCTGGGTGCGCGGAGCGGAGAGGTGATGGGAAGACCTGCTAGAAGTGACTTGGGGCCGAATGACCTGGAAGGTGATCCAGAGGGGGCGGCCGGCACCACGGGGCTTCTGGCTGCCCAGGGGCAGGCTGTGCGCTGGGTTGTGAGGGCCTGGTCTCTGCTCTCCCCGCCACAGATACCACATCGCGGGCCTGGGGGAGTGCGTGTTCGTGGAGCCCACCAGGCTGGTGTCGACGGAGTGCCTGATGACCCGGCCCTGGGTCTGCAGCAAGATGGCCTACACATGAGGTGGGTCCGGCCAGACGCGTTCTTCCAGCCAGGCCAGGCCCGCGGGCCCCAGGCTCCTCGCCGAGGCGAAGCAGTGAGGAGGGCGGCCTCCGCCCCGGGCCCGTGAGCTCGGGTTCCTGGTCTCCCCAGCCACAGGCAGGTCCTGTAGTTCAGCAGTTGAATCCCACATGCTCAGTCGGATAGGCACCTGTCCCCACAAGACACACACACACACACACACACACACACACACACACACACAGGGTCCATGATGAGCCACCTAAAAGTCCCGTACCCCCTTCCCCTGCCCCATTCTGGAATATTTCTTCCTCACGCAGCCCAGGTACTGACACACCCTCATCACCGTTGGCACATACAGCTCTGCCCCCACTTTCCCCAGTCATTTCTCTGCTGGGTGCTGGGGAGGCCAGGAGGGAAGGCTTCCCCTTCCCTGGGTCCCCCATGTCCACCCTCCTTGGGTTCCCAGGCAGGCCCTGCTGTGTCTGAGGTGCTGTTGTGATGGTCACTGATGGAATAAAGAGATGACCGGCGCCCAGAGAGGTTGGCTGCGCTTTGTTCTCGGGCCACGGCTGGGGGAGGGGCAGAGGGGCCGGACTCCGGGTGCCCGCCTGTAGGGGGCAGTAATGAAGCGCACTTGATCTAATTCAGCAGGTGACAGACAGTGTTTGGGAACTGGGGACAGAAACACATTCTGTGGCCTCGGTGCGCCTTTAACTTCGCTAGGCTCCTGAGTTATTCTTAGATGTCTAGGTGGGGGGCTCCATCTGGTTCCTTCATTACTATTCAGCTCAACCTGGCAAACGTTTATTCGCACTTGCCATGAGCCAGACGCCACGCCAGGCATGGGGATCAACAGCTTTATCCCCCCAAGAAGCAGACAGGGAGCAGCAGAAACAGCTTGGAAAGTACCAGAATGTTCTGGAACACAGTCCTGGGATGGTTCATTCTGTTGTAGGGGGGGATCCGGCCACAGGGGAGAGCAATGCTTATGCTGGGTCGGAATTCGTACAGTCCTGTGGCCCCTTCCCTGGGCCCCTGGTCTGCCTGGGGAAGAGCGGGGAGCGGGAGGGGGTGGCGGTTCCCCTGGGCCTGTGGAGCCTCCCATGCACCACCCCCATCAACACTCACACACCTGGAGCAGGTGGCAGCAGGGACCAGGCCTCCCCAGCCCCCCCTCGGTGCCCCTGGCTGGGTGCCACGCGGGTGGCCTGCCTGGGAGCTGCCTGTTGGGATTTGGGTCCTGGCCCATTTTCAAAAATAGCTCAGAAGGAAACTAGGTTCCAGCTCTGCTCAGTCCTTCACCGTTGGGTTTCAGACAAAACTGTCAACGTGGTTTTGTTGGCCTTTCTGCAAGCTTTCTAGATTTTTCGTAAAATACGTTTACTTTGTGGCTTCTTAGTTTGTCTTTACTGGGAAGCCCAAGGGGACCTGGTGTACAATAGAGAAGTTAGGGGGACCCAGGGCGGTGGTGGTGGGCAGAGGGGCACGGCAGGAAGCCCACCGCCCTCCCAGCACCTGGCGGGCAAGCCGCGGAGGGGCTGCAGACTGAGCAGTGGTCAGCTGCTCTTGCTGTTTGTGGGGGGTTCCTCTCACTCACAGTCACTTCCCGCACCGACAGCCTCAGTGCCTTGCTGTAGGAGTGGCACCTCATTTCGTTCTGAAATAAATGTCCGGGGGCAGGTAAAGCTCCATGGGGACAGAACTCGACCTTGGTGGGGTCCCAAGGCCAGGACTTGTGCTCTGGTGCCGCCCTCGGGATCCAGGCAGGAGGGACCAGCAACTGGGAAGGAAGCAGAGTGACAGGGGCCCACGAACCCACACCATTCGGTATCTGATTCTCCAAGGCCTGCTGCTGGAAGCTTTTGAGGCCCACGGGCGACTTAAGCTCTCCGGACCTTGGGTTTGTCCTGGGACCACGTGACAGGTCTCATCAGTTTAGTAAAGGAGCCCTGACTCAAGGCCACCAGTGTTTTAACAGTTTTCCTACCTGGCTCCTCCAGCGGGAAGGAAACACGAGACGGGAGCAAAGCAAAGCACAGGCACGCCTGTCTTCGGAAACGTAGAAAATCCTTCCAGAGGGTATAAACCAGCCAAGCGCCCCCTCCTTCCCAGGTGGGCCGAGCGCGCTGGGTTCCCCGGGTTGCGGAGCCCGGTGCTGTGCTCTCAGCAGCCACGCGGGGGAAGCACTGAGCAGCCTCAGCTCGGGGCCCCGGCCGCCGCTCCTTCCCTGGGTGCACTTGAACCCAAAGCCCAGTCCGGCCCCAGGTGTAACCCTTGGAGCCCGCAGGGCGCCTGGGGAAGGCTGGAGCATGCACTCCAGGTCGCCCTCAGGCCTCCTTTGTGAAGATGGAGGTGACAGGGAGGACTTTTCAAGGAGCACGTGTTGGGGTGTGCGCGTCCACGTGGGCACCAACCGCCCCTTCGTACAGAGGAGGAAAGAGGCCTGGAGAGATTTAGGACCCTGCGCGCAATGTTACGCAGTGTGGACGGGGTGGAGGCAGGGTTCGAACCCAAGCCCCTTCCCACAGAGCTCGGGAAGACATTTGTGCGGCGGGTGTCCTCTGAGCAGCTCTGAAGAAGTGGGGGGTGCTGGTGACGGAGAGGGGGCCGTCTTGGGAAGACGTCTGCGTGCCTGCTGGCGATTCTTTTTCCGGGCACTTTTATCTTCTTTATGTGGTTTCCTGTGAGTGACCCGCAGGTAGTAGAGTAGGTGTTGCTGTTAGTGACGTCTGTCTTTCTCTCCCCTCAGGGCCCAGCTCGCAGCCTCCCTGGGACGCCCCCTGGAGACCAGCGGCCCTCGGTGACCACTCCCTTCCCCAGCACCTCCGGCACTTAACACTGGGCCTCTCACACAGCCCGTTGGTCGTCTTGTCGTCTGTGGCTCATCAATTCCTGTCATTTGACCGCCCCCCCCCCCGTTCATTGGATTAGAACCCCCCCCCCCGGGGGAGCAGGGATTGCGCGTTGTGGGGGCACATAGCACGCACTAAAAGATCATTGTGCGCGATGACAAGATGGTAGCCATGAACTGTTTGCCTCAGTGGGAGAGAGAGGCTGCCATCCTCAGAAGACTTGTTTTTCTGGCCTTGATGGGTGTGGCCCCATTTTTAGAGGCGCAGCAAAGATGAACTCTTTAATTTGTTCTGCTTCAATTCCACGGCTCATGCACACCCTGGCCCGAGCGGGGGTGGCCCAGAAGTTCAGGGGCGATGAGGGGGCCCTGCCTCAGTCTCCAAAGTGTCCATTGGATCCTACACACGGCCCAGCTGGTGAGGAGATGGGCTGTGTGTGCGTGGGGGCCAGGTTCAGGGAGGGGTTCCATCAGTGAATGGCGCTGGCCACCGAAGGCCCCGGGACACCAAGCCAGTCCTGCTGTGTTGTCCTGTGACAGCCAGGACAGCAGGAGGTGCAGGGGAAGCAGGCAGCCGTCTCTTTCCTCTTCCTGGTCTGCAGCCGGCTCCAACCTGGGAGTCAGTGTGAGGTTGGAGCGGGTATCCGGGAAGCCCCCTGCCACAGCCACACAGACCCCTCCGCTCCTAATGCAGCCTGGGGTGGACACGCACTGGGCCTGGCTCCGAAGGCCGGCCCCGGTCCAGTCGGGGCCAGCTCTTCCAATAAGCAGTGGCGTAGCTCAGGCTGCTGTGCTGAACCCCTCTGACACCTGGCTTCACCTCTAAAAAGTAGAAATCACGCTGGCTTTGCTGACCTGACAGGGATTTGAGACTTGTAGCTGTTAGAATTTCAGGGGCTGGAAATGGTCCACCTCATTCTCACTGACCATGAGGCCCAGAGAGGTTAAGTGACACGTCCAAGATCACACAGATAGTGGCAGAACGAGAACTCAGGTCTTGTGGCTCTTCTATTTCCTGTTTATTCTCTTATTACTGTATATATCATGCTTTGTTTATGTGTTTCCTTGTTCGCCGTCCATGTGGAAATCAACCTCCCTGAGGGTAGGGATCCCCTTGCACATTTTGGTTTCTCTAGCGCCTGGTACATACAGAAGGTGCTCAATAAATGTGTGTTGAACTAAACTGATCTTGACTCTTAGTTCAAGTGCTCTTTCCTCTGCATCATGCTCTCTCTGGTCCTGGAAACCTGCATTTCCGGTTCAGCTGCCCACAAACTATGAAAAGTTTCAGATTAAAAAATATATATTTATTTATTTTTCGAGGAAGGGAAGGAGAAAGAGGGAGAGAAACATCAATGTGTGGTTGTCTCTCACGCCCCCTACTGGGGGCCTGGCCCACAACCCAGGCATGTGCTGTGACTGGGAATCGAATTGGCGACCTTTTGGTTTGCAGGCAGGAGCTCAATCCACGGAGCCACACCAGCCAGGGATCTTCCAGATGTTTTTGAGGAAAAAAATAAGCAAGATGCTCATCCCTCCTTGTGACATCCATTCAGGTCCTGAATCTAGAGCACAGGCCTATTTGGGTAAATACATACACTTCTAAAACAAAGTGGAATAACAGTAACAGTTAACGCTAATTAAGAGCTCGTCAGGGCCAGGCACTGTGCTATGTGTCCCACCCACGAAGGGCTCACTTTGCACTGTGCCTGGTCCATTGTAAGCACTTAATAAAAAAACGTGTTCTCAGAGGCCTTATTTCTTATGTATACAGTGTGCTTGAGATTCAGACAATGCTCCAGGAAACCTGTCTGCCATATATTTCCTTAGCATTGCATGATGCTTCTCTCCAAATTGACCAGTCACGACTGGGGGTGGGGGGACAATACGGAGAAGGGTGTACTGCTTCTCAAAAGCTTCATCCGAGGAATGACTCATGTCATTTTTCCGTGGTTAAAGCAAGTCACTGAACACCTAACCTCAAAGAGATCAGGAAATGCAATACTTCCACTTGCCAGAAGGAAAAGAAAGCAAAAAAGTCTTGGTGCATGGCAGTCCTGGCTACTGTTAGAGTCGAGGAGGAAATAAGTTGTTTGTGCTAAGCTGTTTGCTCACTCAAGCCTGAGTAGAAACCGCACCCACCCCCAGGCAGGTGTTTCAGAGAGTTAGGAATTGGTCAAAACGTATAGAGGGCTTCCATGTGTCAGGAGTTGTTGTTAAGTGCTTCACGCCTGAGCTCGTTTAGCCTATCGCTAACTGCCACCTTTGCTTCTGGAAACCCGCGTGCTTGCCCACTTCTATAAAAACCCTAGCCTGTAAGCGTTAGGCGAGACTCTCACTTGCAGCCATTTTGGCGCCGTGTCCCCGGACACCGCGAGAGTTCGCCCCTGCGCAGGTAAAACTTTGAAACGTTGGCCAATAAAACATCTTTGACTGCCCGACCGTCTCGGACCCTTCTTGCTTGTGAGAGCGGAATGTAACATTTGGAGGCCCCAGCGAGATCTTTTTCGGCCGAGGACTGGACGAGCTGCTCGAGCAAACGTAAGTAACGAGGATCCTCTTTTGGTTTTGGAAGTCTAGACTGCTTAACCCTGAGGTGGTAGGTAAGACGTTACCGGCAGTCCGCCCCGGGGCTCCCAGAAGAGGGGACGCCCTCCGGAGTAGTGACTAGGTCACTTAGTTTTCAGTTCCACTCGGTGACTAGGTCAAGGAGTGTCAGTTCTTTTTTTGTGCTGCGCTGCGAGAGACGTAGGCCTGAGAACCGCGGTTCGCCTGTGTGTGTGATAAGAGGTTGTGTCTGTTCGTGTGTTTATTGTTAGTCCTGGTTATAACCTTCCTTGCCTCCGAAATTCCCTGGGTCGTCCTGTGCGCCAGGATGGGCCAGAGCGGATCCGTGCCCGGGTCACCCCTTGATTGCCTGTTAAATAATTTCTCTGACTTTCAGAGGCGCGCCAGTGCATATGGTGGACCCGCCGGACCCGGAGTTCCTCCGGACCCTCAGCCAAATTGAGTGGCCCACCTTCGATGTGGGCTGGCCCACCGCGGGAACCTTGGATCTTCCCCTCTTGTTTGCTGTCCGCGCTACTGTGTGCCGGGTGCCCCATCCGGACCAATTTGTTTACATTGATGTCTGGGTGGACATAGCCACCAAGCGCCCCGGGTATATTCGGCAGTGCATGCAGACTAACAAGAGGGCGGAGAGCTATCTGTGTAACTACACAGCAGAAAGGACTGAAAAAGGAACTTGTTAAGGGAAATCCAAATGCGGGGGGTGGGGGGGTCTCGCACTGCAATCCCGGCTAGGCCCAGGTTATACCCTGTCCTGCCCGGTCAGCTCGAGGATCTTTTTTGTTGTTGTTGTTGCTAAAATATTTTTATTTTTTACCAAGAGCACCCACCACATAGACATCATTCTCTTTTAAATTGCAGAGTTTTTTGAGTGTTAAAATGATTTATGTTCAATGCAAAGAATATCATGCTTCCAATGTTTTAAGGGACTATGTACATTATGGGTTGCCTGGTTTCATTGCTATTTCATACTTTTTTTTTATTGATTATGCCATTACATTTGCTCTATTCCCCCCCTCCATTCCCCTCCACCCTGCATACCCCTCCCCCCATTTCCCCCTTTAGTTCATGAACACGTGTCTCAAATTCTTTAGATTCTGTATTTCCCCTACTATTCTTACCCTCCCCCCTATCTATTTTCTATCTACTGTCTATGCTGCTTATTTTCTGTACCTTCTCCCCCCTTCTCCTCCTCCCACTCCCCTGTTGCTAACCCTTCATGAGATCTTCATTTCTATGGTTCTGCTCCTGATCTAGCTGTCCTCTTAGTTTGTTTTTGTTTTAGGTGTGGTTCTTAATAACTGTGAGTTTGCTGTCCTTTCACTGTTCATCCTTATCTTCTTTTTCTTAGGTAAGTCCCTTTAACATTTCATAGAATAAGGGCTTGGTGATGATGAACTCATTGAATTTGGTCTTATCTGAGGAGCACTTTATCTGTCCTTCCATTCTAAATGAAAACTTTGCTGGGTAGAGCAATCTTAGTTGTAGGTCTTTGGTTTTCATGACTTGGAATACCTCTTTCCAGCCCCTTCTTGCCTGTAAGGTGTCTTTTGAGAAATCTGCTGACAGTCTGATGGGGACCCCTTTGTAGGTGACTGTCCCCTTAGCTCTTGCTGCTTCTAGGATTCTCTCCTTCATTTTAATCTTGGCTAATGTAATGATGATGTGCCTTGGTGTGTTCCTTCTTGGTTCCAACTTCTTTGGGACTGAGCTTCCTGGATTTCCTGGAAGTCTATTTCCTTTGCCAGATTGGGGAAATTTTCCTTTATTATTTGTTCAAATAAGTTTTCCACTGGTGGCTGTGCCTTTCCCCCTTCTGGTACCCCTATAATTCGGATGTTGGAACGTTTAAAGATGTCCTGGAGGTTCCTAAGCTTCTCCTCATTTTTCTGAATTCTTATTTCTTCATTCTTTTCTGTTTGATCATTTTTTTCTTCCTTCTGGTCCATTCCCTTGATTTGAGTCCCACTTTTCTTTCCATTACTATTGGTTTCCTTTGTATTGCCATTCATTTCAATTAGTTTAGCTTCCATATGTTTCTCTAATTTGTGACTAAAATCAACCAGTTCTGTAAGGATCCTGATAACCAGTGTTTTGAACTGTGCATCTGAAAGACTGGCTATTTCTTCATTGCTTAGAGCTATTGGTTCTGGGGCTCTGAGTTGTCCTAGAGCCATTTTTGGTCTATTCCTGCTGTTAAGTAAGTGGAGCGAAGCCTTAGTTGTTTACCAGGACGGGGAGACCCAGGTCGCTGGTTTGTGACGCTGTGTGTGGGGGCGTGGTCAGAGAGGGAGCAATGGCGGTCCCCTCTGCTAGCCCAGCCCGTCCAGTCACACCTCTCGCCCTGGGCTTGTTTATCCAATCGGAATTGTGCGAGCCTGCTGCCCCGCGCAGGCTTCCCTTCTCACTGGTTTATCCGCACGCAGATGCGCGACCGAACAAGATAGCCCGCTGCGCCTCTTCCCTGTGCGCTCCCGTAGCTAGCTCGCTCGAGATCAGCTCCTTCGGCTGCTTGCGCTCTACGCACCACCCGGGAATTTTTTTCTTGCTAACCTGCTCCGCTGCTGGTTTCGCTTCTCTTACCGGTTTAGCTGAGCATTTAGATGTCTTTGGACTCCGTATTGTCGATTTTCCGTGTGGCTTGGTTGTGATTGTGTTAAAAATAGTTGTTATCAGATTTGGTTGTGCACAGAGGCAAGGTGATTCCTCCACCTACGTCTCCATCTTGGCGGAAGTCCGCTATTTCATACTTGATGCTTATATAGCATAATTCTGTGAATCAGATGCTCTTTCCTGAATGGCATATCCAGCAACCAGAACAGTTTCCGTCAGGGGCCCATCCACGTGGAAGAGACAGCGCTGGGGGGGAGGGAGCCAAGTCACCAAATACCACGCCACACCTGAGGTGATGGCCCGCACCTGGAACTAGGTCCCGAGGATCTTTTGGATCCAGCCCTAGCGCCGCCCCCATACCTAATCCAACCTCAGCCAGACTCTTCCGAGGAGGGAAAAAGATTTCAGAGCCCGCCCCATACTCGTGGCGGCACTCAGTAGGCGGGGGCACTGGCCTCCCAGGCGGGGCGGAGCCAGGCGGGGCGGAGCCAGGCGGGGCGGAGCCAGGCGGGGCGGAGCCAGGCGGGGCGGATGCAGCCGCCACCATTTCACCTCCTCGGGCAGGGGCGGCCATTTCACCACCGTGAGAGGCCCCCACCGCGCCGGGTGCGCCGCGAGCTCCCCCACACTTGAAGCTGGAAGGGTTTGAGGGAGAAAATATAAGCAAGCTCCTAGAAATAGCACAGAAAGTATATGTAACCAGGGAGGACCCAGAGGTAGGGAGAGCAAAAGAAGTTGCCAAAATTCTGCTCGCCGCACAGAAAGCACCTCAGAAAGGAAGAGGAAACGAGAAACAGCAGCAGGGAAGCACAGGCCCCGACATGGGAAGGACCAGTGTTCATACTGCAGGGAGAAAGGACACTGGAGGCGAGACTGCCCTAAACTGAGAGGTGGGAACAAAGGCCCAGAGCGTGGCCCAGAAGTCTTCCTCCAAACCTTGGATTGACGGGGCCGGGGCTCCATACTTGTTGGCTCCCAGGAGCCCATGGTCACCTTAACTGTCGAGGGCAAGCCAGTGAACTTCCTAGTCGACACGGGAGCCACTTTTTCTGTCTTAAAACAACCCCGGTGGCAAGTCCAGAAGGCGACCACAAAAATTGTAGGGGCAACGGGCAAGGCTGAAACTTAGCCCTGGACAACTGCCAGGATCACTGACTTGGGTCGAGGCACTATCACTCACTCTTTCTTAGTTATCCCAGACTGTCCATACCCGCTGCTCGGAAGGGACCTGTTGCAGAAACTCCAAGCTACTGTTACCGAACAACAAGAGGAGGTCCGAGGGAGGGGCAATACAATATTTGGCCTACCTAGAGATGCCCAAAACTGCTATACAACAGGGGCCCCTCCCAAAAACAAAATACTAAAATCTACTGGGCTCTTCTGTCTGCCGCCAATTGGAAAGACATCTCTCAATGCCAGAGATTTGTGAAAAGGAAACAAAATGTTTATTTAATGCTATTCAGGCCTAACGCCACCACTAAAATAGCAAAGTCTTTTAGGGTATACACCTACACCCACATAGCTCTCCCTTCTCCCACTGTCCCAACTCCGGGTACCGTAAATCAGGAAAAGAGCACACGTCTGTGTTGCAGGCAGCTGGCACCGTCAGCTGTGTCACTGTGCAGGCAGGATCTCTAGTTAATCCAAAGTACTGTGGTACCCTCTCATGGTCCACTGGCAAGAGTTCTTTGTATCCAGTTCCAGTCAAAGTCTCTCTGGCTTTTCAGGCCCCGCGGCCAAAGGGGGCACCCCAAAGCCGCGTGGGCCTCTTCTACCAAAGCTGCAGGAGTCCGCACTCCACCAAAAGCATGTGGCTTTCTTCTTCACCTGGCTGCAGGGATCTCCATTCTGGCAAAGCTGCGTGGTTTTTCCCTTTCACCTGGGAAAGAGGGGGTCCGCACCCTGCCAAAACCACGTGGCTCCCTCTTTCACCTCACCAAGAGGGGGTCCTCACTCTGCTGAAACCGCGTGGCTCTCTCTTCATCTGGCCAAGCGGGGGCCCTTCATGTCTTGGAGCCAGTCTTCTCCAAGCTCACCCAGGCCTTCTCACTCAGGAGTCCCTTGTTACCTTCTGAGTCCAAACCCTTCTCACTCAGGAGAGCAGCCCTTAGTTCCCATCTTGAGTCCCTGCCACAACCTTCTCCCTCCTCAGGAGCGTCGACCCTAGTTACATTCTCCTGAGTCCCAGTCCACTCACTCAGGAGAGCAGCCCTTAGTTACATTCTGAGTCTCCGCTAGTTCCTTCTCGCTCAGGAGT